GTATGACCGCACGCAATGAACACAGAGTGATCAACTTGGCGGCTTGCTCGCTTGTCCAATCACTGTTGTCACCGCTTACAACTTTAGTAACCCAGCAGCCGATCAAATGTCTTTAGGACTCAGGGAAGATGAGCTCTTTTCCCACAGCCGTCCTTTAATGAAACTCTTCTTTTAAAAATGTAGAAGACTGGGAAAAATAACACTGTACCGAGGGCTCACGCTCTCCTAGCCCTGACAATGGGGTGAACGTTTACGACGCACTTTCCCCCACTGACACAGATACCTATGCGCTCATTGGTTCTTGGTTGGGTGCTTTCAACGTTCTACACGGCCTAATCCAGCTCACAGAAGTATTATGTTTGAAGTGCTGTGTGTGTATGTTTGTGTTTGTGCCGCTGAGATTTAACAGTTATAAATCAGGTCGAACTACTTTTAAGGCAACGTTTTCATGACACGAAAACTAATTAGAGGAAATTTACTAAGAACAAAGAGATGGAAAACAAAGGCAACTCTTCTCGTTTGAATGGTTCTCAAACTGCCGTTGCTCATCGTGAGATTGAAAAATCATCAGTTTTGTTCTTATTGCTTGCTATTTGGTGGTAAAGAACTGGAAGCAACCTAAGCCCCGCCCAAATTTTGGTCCACCCACCGCCACTGTACAGGACTCGTAATCATGAGGTTGCGGGTTCCGGCTTCGAGCCACGGGCCCAACGTTGTGTCCTTGGGAAAGGCACTTTACACGATTTTTCCTCTCTTCACCCAGGTGGGAATGGGTACCCAGCCATAGACAGCGAAAGATCTTGTCAGTATGTTAGTGTTTTAGCGCCCTTAAATTGCTGCCTGCACAGTATGCTTCCCAGGAAGTTGAGATTGTTTCAGAATGCTCTCAGGTCTGCTGGGGTAATAGTATACATGGGGAAGTGCATAGAGCTTGCTGTTGAGAGGGATTTGTGCTATACAAATAAATGCTATCTATTAATTTTAAGATTGTGTACATGAAAAAAAAAGACCTTCGACGCTTGTGGAGTAGTGGTTAGGCTTTTTGCTGTGGCACCCAGAAGTGAAAGATCTTGTCAGTTAGTGTTTGAGCGCTTAATCAGCTGCTTAAGCACTGTATGCTTCCTGGGAATCTGAGAATGTTTTTGAGTGTTCTGTGGTCTGTTGGGGTAATAGTAATATAGTGTGTAAAAGCGACTAGAGCTTGCTTTTGAGTTGGGATGTGCGCTGTACTTATGCTAATTATTATTATTATCATCATCATTGTTGTTGTTGTTATTTTTATTATTATTATTATTATTATTACTTTTTTTCTTCTTTTTTTTTGGAGCCTGCCCAATTCTATCATTTGGCGCTTTTGCGTTTAGTAATAACAACCAACTGTGCAGCATTTTGGGTTTTTGAATTAGCTGTTAGTCTTAGATTAAACACAAAGGAAACTGTTTTACGTATAAATAAATAGATGAGTAAATAAGTAAAACAAAATAGGTTTCTTCACTCTTATAAGGTTATTTTAGTAAGTTACTCATGTAAGTGTTGCCATAGCCCCAACTTTATTATTATTAGTAGTAGTAGTAGTATTATTATTATTATTATTATTA